AGTAAATAAAAGGGAAGGATACCTTAGTATATGTATTATGACAGAAAAGTAAAGAATTCTGTAATTATTTAGATAGTGATAGAGAACTAAAACTAAAAAACTTTAAGTGATTAATAATACATAGAATGATGACTAGAACCCAAGTCTTCTCAGGTTTTCAATTTACTGTGCTTATATGATATATACTGTGATACGAACTTTATTATATAATTATATCTTTAAACTTCTTGGGCTGAGGATTTAGGTCAGTGGCATAAATGCCTGCCTGGCAAGCACAAGGTTGTGACTTTGATCCCCAGTACAACCAACAACAAAACTTCTTAACCATATTATTTGTAACATACTTCATGTGCTTATGTTACTGTTAATTCCCTTGCATGCTATACTTTTGAGTGTATATAAGCATATTTTGAATGTGCAAACATAAGTGTGCATATATAATATATATAATGTATAAACACACTTATTGTAGAATATACAATATATAATGTATAACGTGCATATTATGTATGTATACATATTATATATATAAATATAAGTGTGCATATATAATATATAATGTCTGGATAATCAGAGATTTAACTTTAAATATACTTCTAGTCTGTTTTGGATTTAATATTCTTACAAATGGATAAGAAAAAGCTTCTTTGTCATCATCTCAGTGTTAGGGAAGCAGTCACAGAACAATATTAACATCCAGTTTTTGCCTTGGTTTTTAAGTTGATGACTGCTCTTTCATAAGACCAGTGTGTCAAAGATTTAGGATGAGTCTGGAGAAGACACGTGGCCTTCATGCTTCTCACTTTACCTTAAGTTAGGCAATAGCATTACTGTTTCATTCCATGAGCATTCCATGAGACAGACATTGGGGAATAGTGGAATAAGACATTTCCGCTTGGGCCAATGACCATTAGTATTTTTATTTCTGTTTTTGTTTTTTAAATGAAAAAAGAAAAAAACAATGATGCAGAAATTCAAAACAAAGTAACGGACTAACAATTGTTACTATATTGGTTATTGCTATCTTCAAAGTAGTTGCTCAGATTATAAACTATAAGCATGGGAAAATGATCAGTGAAAACACTAACCATTCTTTTTGATGAACTAACAAAGATTAGTATATATAATCTTCTTTCTTTTCTCCTTTCCTCCATCTCAGCTGTTCTTTCCTTTTAAGCAGTTTCTTTCCCTTTAATTTTCATTATATCACTTGTACATTTTGGATCTTATTTATTCTTTTAGTGTTTTACACTAGATGACCATTAGGTTGTTTTTGTTTTCATTTTTGTTTGTTTTGTTTTGTTTGTTACTGGGGATTGAACTCAAGACTTCACGCTTACCATTGAGCTAACTTTCTGGCCTGACCATTAGCTTTTATCAAAGTGTGTGTGTGTGTGTGTGTGTGTGTGTGTGTGTGTGTGTGTGTGTTTAGAGCACACATCTGGATTGTATTTTATAATCACATCTACCATGCTCCAGATAGCAGAATAAAGATGACAGTGCCTTGCTATTTTAGAACTGCCTTCCAAATATAACCCATTTATGGTTATTTCTTTTTTCTGTCTTTTATAAAAGTAAATAGGACTCCTTGGATCTAGAAGAGAAAAGAATCAAAAGACGAAAAGAGCCTGGCATCTGGAATGGCTCACAACTTCAAAGAGGAGTAGTTTATTTTGGCTTTTGGTTACAGTCTCTGTAAACAAGCTTCAATACAGAAAGAGCATGATTGGAAAGGCTTGGATGGAAGAAAGCTGCTCGCATCATGGTGGTCAGGAAACAGAGCGTGAAGGCAGAAGTTTGGAAGGAGATACATCCTTCCAGGTCCTGTCCCCAGTGACCTGTCTCTTCTACCAGACCCCACACCTAACAGCAAGTTAGTTATAAGGCCTCTATGATTCATTCTCCTTCTAAACAAATGAGGTTTGTGGCCTATTTTAGTTATAAACCATAATATCTATTCTCGAATAGGAAAGGAAAGTTCCCATTGACAAATAGTTTGAAAGCCTTTGCATGTATCTCATTTGCCCATGTCTTATTGGCCAAAGCAAATCATATAGCCAAGCTTTGGAGTCAACATGGATAAGAAAGGCATGGTTCATCCAAGATAGTACTGTACGGATCACTGCCTCAGCCTAATGAACGTATTGCCTTAAGGAGCAATTCCATCCATAGTCCATGTGTACTAGGGCAGACAAGCAGGTACTTCCAGAGAGACTGAAGAAAATACCTGGAGATGGCAGGTGAGACATACGGTTTGCTAAAAATTCTTGATAGAAATTACTAGGAAAGAATAAAATAAATTGAGACTAACATAACAGAAGAAAGTTCAATAAAAATGGGAAGAACAGAAGATTTCCATGAATTTTGGTAGTGGCAGGTGTGAGAAGAAATCAGCAGAAAGTACTTGCAATGTCCAGTGGTGGCTGGCTGGACTATGGCAATATCTTCTCCGCAGTGTTTTGTTCTGCATCTGGTTACTGCAGTGACAGGGGCTTTGGAGATTGTACAAGGAGGGACATCATTTGTTTGCTTGGTTCTATTGTATGACCAGTTGCTCCAAGGAACAACTGACTTAGCATATTGGCAAGAAAACAGTTTTTATAGATAATGCTAATTTTCCAAGTTCTTGATATCCTTTTGGTAACACTTATCTGGATAGACCAGTCTAGGGATGTTTACAATGTCTTCCTGACTTGGCAAGAGTCTTGGAAGTGTGAAAGGGTATTTCAGGAATACAATGCTAAGTACCCTGCTTTTCCTCAGGAATGACACTGGAGCTCAGAATTCTAGGAAACAGAGACATATAGTAAATAATTATAATATTTCATGAGAACAATTAGACCTGATGTGAAGAATATGCTATGGGGTTCGTAAAACAGGAATCACTAACTCTGCTTTGCCTGGACATAATGTTAAAACTTTCACAAGTAAAGTAATGTTGATCTTAGGTGTTCATAGATGAATAGAACTTTGGTAGGCACTCCAAGAGCACACAGTGCAGTTGTATGAAATGAGGAAGAACATCCCGTGGAAAGGAAGTAAACAGTGTAAGAAAAAACATAGAAGTCAGAAAAGTCACAGCCTGTGGAAAGTGGTAGAAGTTTTTAGTAAGAAAGTATTAGAAGAGTCATATGTGTATGAAGGACCATGTGATGATAAAAGTCTATGCCAGAAAGATCAGAATTTGTTAAGTAGACAACTGTGGATCATTAAATGTAATTTATCAAGGAACTAGCGATGATAGCTTGCTCAAGTCAGTTTGATTGCTTGGCGGCTGCACAGAGGATTTGCATAGTACACATCTCAGTGCGTCTGCGTGGATCGTAGAAGTGTGTTCTTGGGAATATGTCTGGTCTCTTACACCTTCCACTGCAGGTCTGTCCCCCTATTCTGCTTCCTGGAGGCAATTTGTTTTGATGTTTCTTCCTCAAACCTATCCAACCATGTACTAAGTCTTCTGAAACTGTAAGTTAAAATAAGCCTCTCCAAATTTAAATTGTGGCTGTTAGGTATTGTGTCTCAGTAATGGAGCAGTTGACTAACACACTGGTGATCAGATGACTGGTGACCCTGGGAGACTAACCTGAATTAGACTCTTGGTAGCACAATGAGGTGATATTTGCTGGCACAGGAGTGAAAATAAATCTTGGGAAACACAACTGGGAGTAACACCAAAGTTATTTTCTTAATTTCTGTCTTGATTCAGTGGTGTTTCTGTTTTACACCACCATTCTACAGCGGTGGCACACAGTCAATAGTTTTGAGACTCTTTCTTTAGGTCTGCATCAGCTTTGCAGGGATGACCCAATACAAATGATCCATGCTGCCCTCTGGTACCAGTGGTTGGGCTCTGAAAGACCTCATTTTCTCTCTCATTTTACGGATCACTCTGAGAAACCCAGATAGTGAACAGGGAAGTTCTGTAAGCTTACCTCTGGCTGTCTGTGCCTGACATACTGCATACAAGAGCTTATATGACCTTTCAAGGCCTTACAGGCACGGCAGGGCTATTGTCTGTCCATAGTTTCTGGTGACATGGCTCAGAAGACTCAAAGGCTGGAGGTGATTTGATGGCCGTGAGCTGAAATCATGTGCAGTTTTATCCACTCTTGCTCAGAGCATGACAGTCTCAGTGCACTGAAAATTCTTACAAGGCCATTCCTGGAACTAAGAACCCATGTGCTAAAAAATAGGGTAGAACATTCATTCTTTGCCTTTCATGGCCCACTCCATACATCCTGGAGAACTGCTTCTGCTGTCGTTTGAAGAAATTAAAAGTATACACAGATTCAAGTTGAGCAACATAGACTCTCAATCCTTAATAGGGGAAGTGTGGTAGAAACAGAAGCCACATTTTGCAACCATCAAACTTTCTCTCATGGCTTATCTGTGATATTTTCTTCCCCTCTCAGCCTAAAGATTTTGTTTGACCTTAGTCAGAAGCTCAGGGTGGAGTAAGAAATAAGGGATGAGGAATATTTACTCTGACTCATGATGTCCTTTGCAAAATATTTTATCCATGTCATGAGTTCTTTCCATTTATTGAGAGTCTGAGTGTTTTTGAAGCTCAAAGACCAGAAAGAAGCCTTTTATTGTCACATTCCTTCCCTGAGGTTAAAAAGTTCTACCGAAATGCCTAATTACCTGAAGGGTGGAGGAGCAAATAGATAAAGACTGTGTGTGTGGTGGGGTGAGGGGACAGTTCTTACCATATTATTTTATATATTTAATGCTTAAGTTAACAGGCAACAAAAATACCGTTGCTCTATTTTGATAATTTTGGTAAATGGCCTTACTATTCCTGTTTGAAATGACTCTCTCTCTCTCTCTCTCTCTCTCTCTCTCTCTCTCTCTCTCTCTGTCTCTCTCTCTCTCTCTCTCTCTCTCTCTCTCTCTCTCTCTCTCTCATTTCTTACTCTCTCCCCTCCCTTTCCCTTCATTATTGTTACAGTTGTCTCAATTTAATGAACTTGGAAAGCTGGGAAAATTCCAGTAATGCCACGTTCTGAAAACCTTGAAATGCAGCAATGTGATCCTGCAAGCTGACACCAGAATCTGTACTTCGGTGTTGTCCCTTCCTCATGTGGTCAAGTAGTTCAGCTTTTCATTGTCTCCACTGCATAAGAAATAGAAACCTATGTAGCCCAAAGTTAGTTACCCAAGAATATAAACCCTCGGAATTCCCCAGAAAGCTGCACTCACTAGCAAGCTAAGAAGAATTTGCAGTAACCTCTTCCTAGGATCTTTCAAGTCAGGAGCAAAAGCTTCTCCAGAGAGATGCTACACTAATATTTACCACGACCGATATTGTTAGTGGTTAATCAGGCATGAATTATTGATTTGTAAGCCACCTCTCTACTTATAAATGCAGTTGTTTATTTTTGTTTATACTTCGTTTGTGCGTTATGTCTACACCTATTTCCGTATCAGTCGTAGCAATAGGAGAGCCTGAATTTTATCAATGAATTCTACTTGAACAATAGGGGCCATGGAATTAGCATCTGGAGTACTGAGCTGCACAGCATAGGGGTAAATAGATGGAATTCTGTGGAGAAATACATGAGTAAATATGCAATAGTTAGACCTATTACTGACCCAAAAAAAAATCAAAAAGGAAAAGTAGATATGCATAGCCAAATGATCAGGATAAATGGTGAATGTATAATATTAATTCGAAAGGTGACCAGATATTGGTTCAAGGATTCAAAGATCAAGTGAGCCGTGAGTACTGCTGAGTAAATTCTATATAACATTCAGGGAAGCCACTAGAGACAGTGAAATGACCAAAGAACTGTCTGAAATACTTGTAAGGAAGGGAAATCAGCTTCCCTAGTAGATTGTCAGTAAAATCCAGACTCTAAGGAGTTGATGCCTCATGGGTCCTGTATCAACAAAGAAGGAACAATTGCAGCTGGTTTGAAAGATAAATTCACACTTATCTGATGGAAGCATGCTGATGGCTGCACGCTTAAATCCCTTGTTAGACAATTTGGATATACAGGGACCGGCAAACTAATTAATAGACAAATGGCCTTTGAGAATTTACCATGAGCTTTTGTATATTTAAGGCACTGTTTTCTGCTTCAGAGCTGAATGGACCTTTGAAATCCTCAAACCTACTGGTCAGTATGAACAGTGAATGTGAGGAGTCTATTGCTTAGGAACCATTTTTCTTACAAGCTGCAACAGGAGCTTGAATAAAATCCAGCTAGACTCAGCTTCTAAACAAGGATGAAATTCAGCTTTACAAAGCTTTCTTGCAAGCCCCAAAGAGCTTATTTATACATTTTTAACCTTTGCCTTTAAAAGAAACATCAGTCTATAATTTCAAAAAATGCTGAGTTGAATACTCAGCAAAAGCAAACTTAAACTGCTTCAAAAGTTTTCCTCCTCTGGCACCAGAGCCAGGGTGACAGTCCAGCAAACAAAGCACCGCACTGCAAGACAGAAAACCTGAGAAGTCTGCCCTGCCTGTGCATTAAGGAGGCCTTCAACTTGGAAAAGTCACTTCACTTTTGTAATCCAGAAGATGCTAACGCACTAAAATATGATAATTGTTATTTTCATCTGATTTTAAGGTGGAAGGATTTCAGTACAATTAAGCCATTTTTCTGCAGTCAAATACTGAGTCAGTAGTTTAGGCATGGCCTACGTGGTCCTTGACTCCTAAACCAGGACTGTTTCCTCTAGAGCTTTCCAGAATGTACTGGTAAATCTGGCTGTGTCTAATGAAAGGTCAGTGCCACCCACGGAGAAGCACCTGCAACTCTGAAGTTCCCACAAGTATTCCTAACATTCAGGTAGGTGGAGCCAATGCATCCCACCTGCCAAGCATCTCTAAAGCAGAGTCTACAAGCAGGAACAGGACAGAAGGAATGATCTCTTGCCTTACACAAATGTCTGTTCAAACCCAGAATATGCTCAGTGGAACATCACTTGGATCAGTGGATTAAAAGCGTTAGTTGAAATGATCTTGCTAATTTGCATTACAACGTAAGCAAAAGCCTCATGGCGATGGAGATGGTTCTTTGCAAAGATAAGTCTGATCATGTCTAGACTTCTAAAAGAAGGTTCAGAGACAGGAGAGGAAATCGTAACACACACACAAAAAAACAGCATAAACAAAGTGCTGTGCTCAGTCAGTGATAACAAAGAGCAAACTGGCACATAGACCTAGCAGGCCTAGGACAGTTTCTTCCACAGCAATTTATGGCTGATGTTACTGGGGCCATGTAAAGCGCATCTCCTGTCCTAAGAAGAATTGAGTTATACCAAGAAGCTCATGTAAAAATGTGACAAGCATTTCTTTCTTTCTTTCTTTCTTTCTTTCTTTCTTTCTTTCTTTCTTTCTTTCTTTCTATTTTTTTGCACGTAGAATATATATATTTTATACTGCTTGTACTGTTGAGAGAGATACATCACCCAGGATTAGGACAGTCCTCTTTTTCATTCAGTTAGTGGCTGCTCAGCCTATTAAGTTCTTACAGACACCGACTGTGATTGTGCTGGCCAGTTTGAGTGTGCTACCCAGGCAGGTCCTGCTAAGATCGTCAGACCCTGTCTGTGTCTTGCCCCTGTCTCTCTCCTTTCCACACATCCCGGGGTCACCTGACCTCTCTGCCAGGCCCACTGTTGCTTCTTCAGAAGTTTTGTTTGCTTGTGGTTTTTATTTTTTTTTAAATATTATTTATTAGAAACAAAAACAGAACAAAACCAAATAAAAGCCCAGCTCAGAGCTGTACTTCAATTCATCCCACCCTGGTGCTGGTCTCTTTGCCACAGCCAAAGAATGAGTTTCAGCCTCAAGTCCTGGATATGGAATCTAGATGGTTTTGCTTACCTAAAATTCCAGAACTTTCTGTTTTTCTCCAGTCAGTCTCCCTCTCCTAGTATTTGAGGATATGAACAGAAACCAAAAAAGTCTATGTCTTAGTCTTTACTTTGTGTTTGTTAGCTGAATGACACTTGGCAGATTTGTTGCAATGTCATATTTGCTCATCTTAAAAACAAAGCTAATAAAAATACTTATTTTAGAGGATTAAATGAGGTAGCTCACGTGTTCATTAGCTTTCTGTTACAAAACCAGTATCTTAGACAATGAGCTTAGAAAGAGAAAAGGTTTATTTTGGTTCAGTTTTGGAAATTTTAATCTATTATCGGTGCCTCATGGCTGTTAAGCCTCTGGGCATGAGTGTGAAGACAGCAGCACGTCATGGCAGAAGGATGCAGCATAGCAGACCATTCATCTCATGGTTGGAATGTGAAAAGAGAGAGAAGGAGCCACTGAAGCCCTGCTAGTCCCTTCAAGAGCATGCTTCCGATGATGTAAGAACTCCCACTGTCTCTTAAATATTCCACCACTTCCTATAGAGCTAGGGGCTGGGAACTAAACCATTACACGCCAGCCTTTGGGAAAACTTATCCCAAACATAGCAGTCCTGTAGGCTTAGTACAGATACAGGAAGATATACTTATGTTGTTAAATATACTTAAGCTGTACATAGGATCATAAAATATACAGAAGTTTAGCACACTGCTCACTGATTTATTTATATATGAATTTTTCTTCCAAAATGTGTTTTTTTTTAAAGTCAGGGACTGTTTAAAGAATTTCATAACTCTTTCAAAACTGAGCCAAATGTAGAGTACCATGGTAGAACTTAATCATTTTATTGGATTTGAAGTCAGCACAAGGTATAAAATATCCTATTACTAGAGCTCAGATGGAAATTCGACTTGTGTGTTTTGATGTGTAAATACACAGAATGAGTTAATCTTCAGAAAGGAGAAATTATTAGCATACGAAATGTGGGGCACTGTTACAGGTGTAATGTCACTGTCCCAGGGCATGTGCTGCAAAACAGAACTGGGCCATAATTCGACGTTCAGTAGCTCTCTGTGGAGGACTTTATGCTGAGTACAGCTAATGTGCTCAGAGAGATGTACCCAGTTTGCAAAGAAGATATCCTTCAATATGACCCATGAAAAACATTGTTTCTGACTCCTATATTTAGACTATACAGCAACTGTAAAAATTGAACAGACATAACTTTTCTCTGTCAGACACTTGAAAAACAAAGCAAAACAAAACAAAACAGCTAATAGACCCAAACTGGAAGGTCAAGGCAGGAAGATCACAAGTTTGAGCCTGTCCCATGCCACTCAGCAAGTCCCTGTCCTCAAATAAAATATATAAAATGGGCTAGGACTGTAGTTTAGTGTGGAGGCCCTAGGCTCAACCACCAGTACTGAAAAAGGAACAACCAAAACTAAATGAAACCAAACCAAACCCAAACTAAAGAGAAGCTACCAAGAAAGATGTTTCTCACAAATAAAATAGGGTAGTGTCATGATTTATGTTGGTGGCCCCCAGGTCTCATTCGTTTACGTTATGCATCTGTGATTGGTTCACTGTCTAGTGCTTAGATTGATGGTATCAGCGCTACACCCACATAGGGGTGGAGCCAGGATGTAATGTAATAGTAGGAAGAAGATGTGTCTCACTCTTTTGCCTGTTTCTGCCTTACTGTTTGCAGCTGCCATGAACCGCAGCCCCTCAATGCCACCCTGCCTTGGAGCTAACTGAGTATGGACTGAAACCTCCAAAAAAAAAAAAAAAAACTGTAAGAAATAAACCTTTCCTTCCCCAACTTTGGGCTTTAGGTATTTTGTCTCAGCAATAGTGAAAAGTAACTAAGACAGAATTTGGTACTGAGGAGTGGGGTCATTTGCTGTGACTATACCTGACCATGTTTTTCAAGAGGCTTTGGAAATAGCTTGTGGGCAGAGTTTGGAAAGGTTCAGACATGTCACCTGGATGCATAGAGCTGGACAGCTTAGGCTGCTCTATAGAAGAGATTCTGGTCAAAGCTCAGGAAACCAGAAGGCTGATAGAAAGCCTCATGGTAAAGACCAGACTTGGGAGGTTTCTGCTGGGAAGAAGGACTACTGTATTGGTTGTTGGACTCCCCATGATGTGTGTTATGCCTTGGCAGAAAGTTTATCTGCATTTTTCTCATGCCCAGAGACTTTGCCTGAGACTGAGACAAAGGGCAATGGACTAATTACTCTGGAAAAGGAAATTTCAAAGCAGTTGAATGTTGGGGCTGTGACATGGCTATTGTTGGGGGCTTTTAGCCAGCTTTATGTTGCAAATCAAGAGCAAAGAGCCCACCAGGATACTTTGCAATACTGTAAGTTTGGCCAGAAGGGAAATTTCAGGAATGCTGTGGATTGTAAAGACAGAGTTGAGACTTTGATTGCTGAGGAGAAACAGAAAAATAAAAGAATTTGTTCAGTGGGGAAAGCTGCAGAGCACCATGCTCTAGAATGGCAACAGAGGCCACGTGAGGTTCTAGAATGGTGGCAACATAGAGAAGCTTTTCTTCACAATCAGGTTCACAGAGAACAACGATTCAGGCAATTGACCCCTACAGCCAAGAGAGAGAAAAGCCTGGCTACTGCTCCAGCTAGCAGCAAACCTTGGCGGCATCCACATGGTGCTGATTTTAGATGCAAGAAACATGTACAAATTCTGAGGGTAAGACAGTTCCACCTCGATTGCAAAGGGCCTCTCAGTGTGCCCCTGAGAGGGCAATTTGTGAAGATGTAAGGGTGAAGCCGAAGGTGTAGTGGAGACCCCAGAATTTTGGAAAAGCCAGGAACGTGGATGATCCAAGGAAAGCTGCAAAAAGCAAGCAGAGAGGATTTAAGAGAAAAGCTGCAGGAGCTGAAATTCCTGGAAGTATCATGGGGGTGGAATCACCCAAGCCTTTTAGAGCTTGTAACCAGATTGCTTCAGATGCTGAGCATGAAACTCTAGGACTTAATGTTTGCCCTGCTGGATGTTGGACTTGCTTTGTTCCTAACACTTTATATTCCCCTGTTTGTAACTTTTGGAATGGTAATGTTTATCTTGTGCCTTTGCATTTTAGAAATGTTTAACTTTGTTTCATTTGTACAGGGGGTTACAGTAAAGAGTTTGTCATAGATCTTGGAGGAGATTTGGGACTTGGACTTTTCAGCAATGCTGAAAATAAGGACTTTGGAAACTCTTGGAGATGGACTAAATGTGTTTTGTATAAATGATGCACATTAGTCCTGGGGGTCAGGGGTGGAATGTCATGGTTTATGTTGGTGGCCCCCAGGCCTCATATGTTTACATTACGTATCTGTGATTTGTTCATTGTCTAGTGCTTGGATAGATGGTGTCAGTGCTCCACCCACATAGAGGTGGAGCCAGGATGTAATGTAATGGCAAGAAGAAAGTGTGTCTTGCTCTTTTGCCAGTTTCTGTCTTGCTGTTTGCAGCTGCCATGAACAGCAGCCCCTCCATGCCACCCTGCCTTGGAGCCAACTGAGTATGGACTGAAACCTCAAAAAAAAAAAAAAAAAACCTGTAAAAAATAAACTTTTCTTTCCCCAACTTTGGTCATTAGGTATTTTGTCTCAGTGAGGAGTAAAAAGTAACTAAGACAGGTAGTGAAAATGGTACACATCAACAAGCGCCAACACAAAAGAAATGTTTTGGTATTTATGAGGGGAGTGTTTTATTTTTCATTTACACACAGCATGATTAATAAGTGCAGATTTATAAATTCTTTTATCAATGAATCATGACAGATTTGAAATATATGGATTATATTTCTTAGTGTTGAAATTCAAAAGGCAGGAAAATTTTCCAACAATAATTTCAATTCTTACTGATTTGGAGATTTATACTGATATTTTTCCTCAATTGCAGGTAAGTATCCATGTATGTGTGTTTATTCTAGTCTACACTAAATTAATCTTCATGGTCTGTACTGATTAGCTGGTGATATAATCAAAGAAAGGAAAGGAAAAACTGCTAAGCATCTTCTACATTTTGTTATCAGCACTTTGAGGGACTGAATTTGTTGATCACCTCAAAAATGATCGTAATTAGTATGCGTTCTTTGAAGTTGAAATTTGTTGATGATATTTAAGGAATATTGTAAATTCTACAGGAGGAAATATTTCGCTCTTTCATGTCTTATTGTATGGATAAAGCAGCAAGCCATTTTAACCACCACAGGCTTTACTGCTAATTAGGAAAGCTAAAAAGTGGTTTCCTCTGTGCTTTTCTTTATTTTGATTTTTTTCCTCCTATTATTTTCCATGTGTCCACCCAGCCATATTTTGAGGTAATTTTATATTGTATTTATTCCAAGGAACATTATGCAATCTCTAAAATCAAGTTAAAGGCATAACTTCTAGCTTTTAAGTAAAAAAAAAATTGTTATTTTTGTATAAAACAAAAGTTTAACAGAACCAATGTCTGCTTTGGAATATTGAAACTGGTTACCCAAATGCAGTTTTTGACACATGGTTCTTTCAAACTGATGTGCTGTGTGGGGTTGAAAAGTGTTGGTATCATGCCCAGGCAATATTTACTGTCATGAAGGAAGCAAGGTGGCCAGTTTCTTGGTAAAGGGTGAGATATATATTGCCCGAGTGGCTCCAAGATCATTTGTATGTTGCTGTGTGTACTGTTGCTTGTATCCAAAATCATTTTTCCTTTCAAGGCTTTGTAGGATTTTATATGTTATCTTATTTTTACCCAGTCATGTTTCCTTCTAACTCAGTCTTCTCACTGCAGGATAGAGCTCTATATAATGAGGGTTAGCTTGACAGCCTTTTTATCACTAGATTGTTTTGAAGAGGAATGCTGACATCAGTAATAGTTCAAACGTCTCAGCCTACCCCTTCCTCACTTCTCCTTGACCCCTCTTTTCTTTATTGGATAGGATATCAAATAGTTAACGTGTTTTAATTAGGAAAAGAACTATTTAAAGCCTACACATATGAAGATTTTTCCTTTCTTGTCTTCTCTCTCTAAATAATGGAGCAATACTGGCTACTGCTGTTACACATTTTCACAAGGCCTAGAGCTAGAATGATGTGGTACTAAATGAAAAAATCCCATTGCCTGCACCTTCTCAGCCATATTCTCTATTGTAGTTCTAGTGTAAGTTAGCACTTTCCAACTAACAGGCTCATCATTCAGATGTTCATAATTCAGGGAAAAGGGGTGTTACTTATTGGGCATACTCTAATCACAGCAACTACCACAATCCAAATTTTCAGTCATTACTCTGATTTTTTTAGGACAATGAGATCTCCTTTCTAAGTCTCCAATTGACAGTCTCAGTTTGGAATCTTCAGTGAGAATGAAGTGTTGCTTTTTTGCTTCCCACAATTTTCCTTAGGTGTCTTTTTAATAGCTGCATAATAGCTTCACTTTACAACGACTTCTCATTGCTTAGTCAGAGTTTAGGCCTTTTAAAAATTCTGGTTCTGCCAACACAAAATTTCTCAAAGAACTAAAATTTAAACTATTTATATATTGCCAAAATATGTGTGCTGTTAAAATCCTATAACTGATGACATACATTTACACTTAGGGAAATTAATTTAGGACGAGCGTGGCAAAGGCTTGTGAAGTAAATGAGTTACAATCAAAGCCTTGTGGACCCTTAATGTGTGATGTTAGATATGTAACTCTTCAGGATGTGATAACCTCATGGCGCCTTCAGAAAAATGACATCGGCTTTGCCTGTCTTGTAAGACTGTGACATTTACATGATGTGAAAATTAAATAAAAAGTAAAGCACTGCACAGCTTTCTTTGTCTGATTAGACCTTGATCACATAAAGATGTGACCGTCATTTACTTTTCACATTCAGAACACTTATTTTGTGGGTATCTGCCATCATTTTGACTTCTTTTACGTCTACTTAAGAAACTGAGTTGGTCCCTTTCTTCCAGACTATTTTAGCCTGGGTGTTCCAGAGAGCAGGACCTTTTAAGTTTATTAAAACTTAAAGACCTCAGAGTTTATTTATTTAAGCAATGACCTCAGGAAGCAGCTTAAGAAATAGGCAGAATGAAAAAGGAAAGTCAGTGCAAAGAAGAGTTAGCCACTATTTTTGGACAATGAATCCTAAAAAGCTAAAGGAGCATTTGAGGATACTGTCAGTGCATCTCAGAACTGTCTTCTGATAAAAAGTGACAGCATTTATCTGTCACTTCTTGATCTGCTACTAGCAATCCCCTGCCAAATAACTGCTCTTGTCTTCCAGATCACATATGCCCGGATGCTTAGCAGTCCTGACACTGTGCCAGACAACACGCTAGAAAAGGTCCAGTGCGGACTAGTGAGAGGCACTGATAGTCTGCAACCGAGTGATGATGTAACAAACTGGACTGTCATCCTGATCAGCTCAGAGATACCAACAGGATCAATGTTTGGGCAGGACACAGAGGCGTGACTGTGGATACAATATCTGGCCCCTGGCCCTTTCTTCTTTTGCACTGTTCTGCTATTTTACTTCCTTGCCTCCATGAAGTGAGCAGCTTTGCTCCATCATGTTCTTCTGCATTAATCTTTTCTGACTTAGAACCAGATGATCTATCATGAACCAAATTAAACCTCTCTGCTTTAGTTGTGGATGTCATTTATTTTGTCCTAGCCACAGTAAAGCCAACTAATATAGAGATTGTGGAAGAGCACATGGGATTAGAAACTACACAGCAGATGCCGTAAGGAGGGAAAGGGGACTGAAGTCACACAAAAGGGACAGGAACTCAGACATCTGACACTGGGGATCCTTAGGCTGTTTTCTCCCTTTGCACCTCATACCATTTCTCAGTAATCACGTGTCTTCTTAAGGTTGAAATTATTATCCGTGAGCTTTTAACCCCCAAATTTGTATCTTTGGCTCAGATCACATTTCAGAATTCCATAGTCCTTGTCTCTGTGTTCTACATAGAATCAACTTTAGAAAATATTAGAAACATGCATGCAGTTTTCATGTAAACCTAAATCCTATTGGAGTAAGAATTTCTGGTGTGCCATTGCACAGGGAGTGACTAGGGATAACAACTACATACTAAACCTTTCAAAAAGGTAGAAGAAAGTATTTTCAAAGTTTTCAAAATAAGAAAATGATAAATATTTGAGGACATAGATACGTTTAACCTGATTCCAAGATTACACAATGTTTATATGTATTGAAACATCACATGATATTGCATTAATATATAGAATTTTTTGTTGGTTTGCTTAAAATTAATTCAATTTAAATAAATTGTGAAAGCTGGAACTCTTGACTTTTCCTACAAATCTGTCCCTGGGCTAGTCTTCATCAGCTTGGTAAATGTACCTACACTTGCTTAAGAAAATATGTTACTTATCAATTGCTATGTAACAAATTACAGTAAAGCCTAGTGGCTTAAAATAAAGATTTATTATCTCACAGCTGTGGCAGACAAAGAGTTTGGAAGCAGACTATTGATTGGAAGGTTTCAGGCAAGAAGCTGGAGCTGAAGTCCTCTGAAGACTTGAGGAAGGCTGGAGGATTTGGCTTCCAAGTTGGTTGTTCACAGGGATTTTCCCCAGAGATCTTAGCCCCCTCCCCACCCTCTAGAATGGTTGGCAGGAATTTTAGTGATCTGCCACAATGGTTGCTTTCTTGGGTTGCTTTTCCCACAGAAAGCCATACCAGAGGAAGTAGGGCAGACGCTACGCTGATTTTATAATCTTGCGTTGGGAGCCATGTGTTGTCACTTCTGCCATTTTCTGCCGCCCACACATACCAACTCTGTCGGGGGATTGCACAGGATGTGAGCAACATGAGGGCGATCACAGGGAAGCTCCCCATCACTGAAAGCAGCCCCAGAGTAATCTTATCAGATATATCGTCTCATCAAGTCCTGTTGATTTATCTTCAAAATATTTCTCAAATATATCTTCGCTTTTGTGTGCTTTTAATCAAATTCTTATCTTGCTTTAACAATAGCTGTCAAGTTGGATTTCCTTGTCTTTATTGTTGCTTCCATCTAATTCATTCATCAGAAAATAGCCAAAATAATATTACATATGTCACCGTTAAGGTTTTCACTCATCTATTACCCTTAGAAGAAACATAAAACTCTTAGTAAGGCCTTGGTGACCTCCTGGCTCCGATCCTCACCCACGTCCTTGACTTCCTCTGTTACTGCTCTCCTCCGCCTCCCCACACCCATCACCCTACTCACCAGTCATCTTCATGCCTATTCTTTTTTCTTTGTGCAACCTTGATAAATCTTCAAGTACTAGATTACATCTTTCAGAAGATCCTTCCTAGCTCTCCAGTTTAAATTGTGCCCTACCCTTTTATTCTCTAGTCCTATGTATAACACAAGTAGTTATCATTAGAAATGTTACCATGTGTTTGTTTGGTTTTTGTCTCAGTGGCAGAGACCAGCTCTACTTTGCTTATATAAACCTATCCATGGACATACACTATACCTACCATCACATAGTTACCAATTAAATGGCTGCTGAATAAATGAATGCTGTACCAAAGAAAATCTTTCTGTTGTCATCATCTAAACTTAACTGTGTCAAAAATTCCCACAAGTTATGAATGACTTTTTATCATAGAATGAGCAGGAAGAATTCTACTAAAGGAAATAAAACATAGGTCACCGTCCACATGCTATAAAGTTAATGGAATGCAATACAATCAACCAGAAAGACAGCAAATGCAAACAGAAAGAAATAAACAAACATTTTTCAAGTGAGACCCTTAGAGCATGTAAAGTATGTTGTTCTGAGTGAAAATACCAGTGTAGAGTTGCAATGAGTTCAGCAGTTCAAGATGAACTGAAACATAGATGCCTTCGTGCATGGTGTTTGGCTTTCCAGATCATTAATCTACTAACAGTGATAAAAATATAAAGATACAGCTAACATTTCTGAAAAGCTCATTGTTTATAAGCTGTACCCAAAGCAGGGTTAATCAATTACAATTTTTTCATACAAAACGATGTATTTTTTAAAAATTCTGATGGCATCAAGCAGAAGCTTAGTAGATCGGAGTGTTTTCATGTGATCTTCACACCATAGGACACTTCTCCAGATAAGAAATATTTGCCAGGTTTCAGCTTTTGCGAATTATTTCCCATTTTATATCATCCTTATTTACCCTACATCTATAGTCTCTTTATGTTCAACATTGTATATAACTGTGACTCCTTTATCAAGAAAACTAACAAGTAATTTTTTTCTTCAAATTCCAATTGTTAAATACACAATGTCCACTGTGTAAGAACCAATGGCACTGAAATATCATCTCCTCTATCTTAGGTGTCTTCCTCCCCACACTTTTAAACTATCCACATATTAATCTTGGGCACTTTAATAAATATAATTACCATTTTTCAAATTCATCCCTGTGTACCTTGTTACTTATTTAACAAACCTAGCTGGTGAAGGGAGGAAATGAACAGCTTTAAACCTATGAAGGAACAGTTATAACTTTTTGTATATATATTCAAAAGAAATTTCTCCTTCAATTGCTGACGTGAGAACTAAAAGTCTCTTTGAGAATATGAACTTGCTCTGTTTCCGCTGTGATTTCTCATAACTGAAAGAAGTAAACTTTTAAAAAATTACCTTTCCATGGTCAGTTGAGACCTAACTCTTTGGAATGAACATATAATTTCTTAGAAGGCGATGAAAGAAACAGTAAAAAGAAAATGAATTTCAGCACTTAGTCATATAAAACGTCTCTGGAAGCTCTCACTACATCTGCAAAGTTGATCTGGCCTAATGAGCAAGTAAATGTTTCCTTAAGTGAAGGGAAATACTTTTTAAAAAAACTATATGTCCATTTGAATTGAATTACAAATACCTTATAGCAACAGGTTGGTATTTCAAAACTATTTTTTTCATCCATTTCAAAATTATTGATAGAATGAAAGCTAAAAATATGAAAGAAGAATTGTTGATAGAATACACATGTTACTATGGTGATATTTTTGGATTATACTGTTTGCCAGGAACATGGTGTAATTCTGGCTAATTTCAGCTCGAATTAAATGCTCTTGTGACAAAACAGAAATGTCTCTAGGTCACATCAGAATGATTTTTCACTGGAAAATTAGATTATTCTTCATTGGAAACATCAGTTACAAAGCATGACCACACAGATCCATAAATCTTTCTGACGTAAGACATGGAAAATGTGCTCTTGTAATGAAATCATTATTAATAAGTGTTCTACATTCTCAGGATACCAGTTTGTAATTAGGAAACAACTCAAAGCTTCACCCTGCTAACTACTACTCTAAAAAGTTCCTATCGGGCTTCCAATTACTAGATGATGAGGTGTGCAGGTCTCCCCAAGAACAACATGGGTGGATTCTGGATTACAAGTCTTCTAGAACAAGGGATCGCAAGAGGGCGAGATTTCAGGATGAAACACCAGCTGTCTCCAAGATTCTCTAGCCCGTAACTTCTATTTCACGGTATTTTAAGATAAATTCTGTAAAATCTTGCTTAATTTGGTGTCTTTGTGTGGATTGGGAGAAAAGCATTCAGGAGATGTGTTTACTGCTCCTATACTTTTCAGTGACAAAGGCAGTTGTTCCCAAGGTGACATTGAGTACCTGTGGATTGGATTTACCCAAAAGCACATTTACCTGATTCACGTCAGTAGATGTTTTGAACACCCAGGTGTTCAGGATGTGGAACAAATATTTATTTGATTGGTATTTCATGGCTCTATTCCAAAGAGGAGTTTTTTAGATTGTTTCTTATATTTCTCAAATATAACGCAATACTCCCCACCCTTTTGCACATCGTGCATTATGGTAACCATTGTTGATCACCTTGTATTATGTTTTTATATTATCTATTATGTCCACCCTTTTGACTTGACCGATTGTGTTCTGTTATGTCACATTTGGTTTTACTCTTTTCCAAAAAAGCAATAAGAACCGTGGGAGCAATGAAACCCAAAATGTGTAATAGTCATTGTACAAAAGAGAGGAAAAGAAAGTGCTCTAAACTATATAACTGCATGTATATTTAAGTGTATAAGATAGAAAATGATATCACAGAGTTTTATTGGATCATTGAACAGAACTGTTTGCAGTATCATTGTTGGAATGTCCACTCTACAAGCTTTAATTTTGTGACTTGAACAATTATTTCTAAGATGGCAATATGTAATCCACTAACTAGTGATTTCCTACTGTTCATTTTTTTCTTCTGTAAATCTGTATAACTTGTACCCTTTCACTGTTTTTTTTTTTTCTTTTCTCCTTAAATTAAAAAAAAAAAGAAAGAAAAAAAAAACAACGATACTTGTACAGCACACCCTGGGATAACAGCAGGATGCTTCTTGATGCTAATGGTGGCCTTGTGAAGGATCCAGGCTCATTCTGCCTCTAGGATTACCTAGGGTGGTCAGTATTGTGAGATCTGAGGATGCCATGGCTGCAGAGCCCCCCACTCTGTCTCATCAATCTATTTCTTGTGTCTCCCACAGAAGCCTGAAGCTATCCCCTCTGAGTCTAATCTAAATTTTTCTACCAATTTAAATGGCACAGCCTGGAACTGCATCCAATGTTATGATAGTCAGGTGATAATTTGTTTAGGTGTTTGCCTTTCAGTTATTGCAAACTATAGCTCTAGGTTAAATATGTTAGCATCATTTTTCTTTCTTTAAATAAAAATCACAAGAACTAATCAAATAATAGCAGAGCCCATCATTTTTTTTTATACTGGGG